CTTTTTTACCTTCAAAGCATTTAGTGCTTCTGAAGTAAAACCAGGAGAGCCATCAATTGACTGATACCATTTAGAAATCGTGGATGGATGAGGTAAAGATTTATTAAAAGTATTCCTTACGAACTGGTATGCTTTTGGGGAGTAAAAAGATAGCGTCAAAGCAAAACATCTAATAGATGGGTCATATTTTTGTAAAGATGGGCCTTTCAACATCCTCTCGAATATTTTTTGTCCTGAGGTTGATAAAGAGGCCTGAAAAAACAAAAAGATGGGTGTAAGGTGTAATAGCACTGCTGCTCATTATTTTAGAGTTAAATCACCACATTCATCTTAAAAGGTTGATTTTGACTACCTTCTCCAGTCATTTACATACATTTAACTAGTTAAATTAAACAGGAATTGATGAAACAAGTAAATTTATTACACATTCAATTAAAAACATGAACCCTAAACTGAGTCTTTACTACTATCCAAAAATCAGTATGATTGATACCAAAGAAAAAAATTGAAATAATTTTACTTCTGTCCGTTATTCTATATTATCTAATTTAGAGATTTTTACCTCAAGAACAGTCCCTGACGAATTAGTTATATATGATTTTTCTTTAAGCAGCTTCATCAAGCCTCCTAATGTCTTGATTTTTTTCTTAAAGTATGTATTGCTAGCCTGAAGATTATGACTCTTCTTTCTCAGAGCAGTTATAGTATTCTTCATCAAATGAAAATTCTTCTTCGCCTTCTCTGGTGTAGAAAAGTCTGATGAAGATAAGTCACCCACATACCTTCTTTTTCTGAAACAATGAGATATGATTGGAATTCATCATATATGTGAAGCATATGTCATTAAAATCTTATTAGATCATCTATTTTCTCAATATTTCTCACCTATTTTTACGTGCAGTTGCAAGAGAAACATCCTTGAACCCAGCATCAGGCTCTGGTTGGTTCTCAGTTTCTGAGACGCTAATTGTTGATGAAGAAGATCCAAAGCTTTGATCAAGATTGGAAACTGATGCTTTTTTCCTGTTGCTGACCTATAAAAATAAAATATCATAATATAATTATATTATATTAAATTATATAAAATATTTCATGTAATTTAATATTCAAAACAAAAATACTTACTGGTAGACAAGCCAGAAATGTTGGGTAGGTCATCAAATTTCAGCCTGAAACAAAAAGCAAGTATTATATTACTATAAAGTATCTAGTTCTGCATAATTCTGCAAGCTTCAGTTGAATATATTTATTTGCTTTGATATGAGAATGATCATTTACCTCTTTACATCAGGAATGTTATCTTGATGGCACATCCCCTTGAATGGCTGAGTAACTTGATCTGTTGAACTTTCGCTAATTGAAGATTCACAACTGTCAAATCAATAAAATATCATGTAAAAATAAGCTTTGCTAGTCACAAACCAATTGAATAACACTGTGAGTTTCTTCATTTCATGTAATGAATCCATCATTTCTACAAAAATCTGTATGATGCCTCTCAAATATAGTTACAAACTGTTGTTTGAGAATTTAATAAGACCTTCTAATTCTGTATGTGTGTTTCATATTTAGATCATTTACAACTCAAACCTAGTCCCTATGCGAACAGAGAAACGAAAAAAGCTGATGAAGCTATGCTAGCAAATTAGGTACTGAAAATTACAATTTAGGTCTTTGCGTATGCTTCTAAACTTCATCAGCATTAGTCGACCAGGCATTCATGTCTTTTTTGAACAGTTCAAGCACTCCTGTGGTCATTCTTTTTTGACAAGTAATAGTGTCTGTTGTTTTGGCAAAAATAAGCTTTAGTAGTCACAAAGCAATTAAATAACACTGTGAGTTTCTTCATTTCATGTAATGTATCCATCGTTTCTACAAAAATCTGTATGATGATTCTCAAATATAGTTAAAAACTGTTGTTTAAGAATTTAAGAAGACCTTCTAATTCTGATATGTGTGTTTCGTATTTAGATCATTTACAACTCAAAACCTAGTCCTTATGCGAACAGAGAAACGAAAAAAGCTGATGAAGCTATGCTAGCAAATTAGGTACTGAAAATTACAATTTAGGTCTTTGCGTATGCTTCTAAACTTCATCAGCATTAGTCGACCAGGCATTCATGTCTTTTTTGAACAGTTCAAGCACTCCTGTGGTCATTCTTTTTTGACAAGTAATAGTGTCTGTTGTTTTGGCAAAAATAAGCTTTAGTAGTCACAAAGCAATTGAATAACACTGTGAGTTTCTTCATTTCATGTAATGTATCCATCGTTTCTACAAAAATCTGTATGATGACTCTCAAATATAGTTAAAAACTGTTGTTTAAGAATTTAAGAAGACCTTCCAATTCTGACAAATTTGTAGTTGGGTACTTCGACACTACTATTACATATTTTGAATGATTGTTTAGTTTAGTTAAGAGAACAGAGACCCTAACTCAAGTTAAATCAACAAGTGATAAATTCAAACTTACGTTTGCCATAGAAATATCTACTCCTGCACGGACACTGTAAACATTTCACAACACTTTCACTATTTGTAGTTGTGATTGCTTGTTCTAAGCTTCTAATTAATAATCCTTATTAACGGGAGCCTGATTATTAAGATTTCGCTAATGTTTACATTCATATATGTTGTAGGTTAGAAATAGGAAACTGTTGTTTAAGAATTTAAGAAGACCTTCTAATTCTGACAAATTTGTAGTTGGGTACTTCGACACTACTATTACATATTTTGAATGATTGTTTAATTTAGTTTAGAGAACAGAGACCCTAACTCAAGTTAAATCAACAAGTGATAAATTCAAACTTACGTTTGCCATAGAAATATCTACTTCTGCACGGACACTAAACACTTCACAACACTCACTATTTGTAGTTGCAATTGCTTGTTCTAAGCTTCTAATTAATCCTTATTAACGGGAGCCTCATTATTAAGATTTCGATAATGTTTACATTCATATACGTTGTAGGTTAGAAATCGGAGGTGATGCAATCGGACATACGCTGTATATCAATCGGTTGGAAAAGCGGAGCTTTATGCCATATTGTAAAATTATAACATGAATAGGGGCTTACAATCATATTTTTATCGTATTTTTAAACCGATGATGATTTCAATAAACTGATGAACGTCAAAGAATAATTGCAGCCTTTGGCGGTAGACATCGCAATCTGTAAAAATAAAAAACTACTAGATTCATCCGATTTTAATGGCTCTAGTCCGGTCCGTTTAGACAATGGAATATAGAAATTTTGAATCTTTTCGAAAATGTTGATTTTCACGCGCAAAAAAGGACAATTCTATTTGGCGTGATCCAATATTGGATGAAGCGACCAACATAAAGCCGAAAATGGCACGTTTTTGACGTTCCGCTCGCACTCGCTCGCTTTCGTAATACGATTATACCTACATTACCCCGCCTAACAGGAATCCGGGGATCTGGAGGGGAAATTCAAAATTGAAAGTTCAAACTAAAAATGTGTGCATATCTTTGAATTTTCTAATCTGCCGAGTTTAAAAAATGCGATCGGGTAACGTGTCGTATGTCGGTTTAATCAGGAGACTTTGGTCTTTCGTTTTGCGAAAAAAAATCGTAGCTACGTCGCTCCGTAACGCAGGTCCGTATCGACGAAGACAAAGTACGCCGAAAAACGGTTGTCATCGGTACTTTTGAGGCGCTCAAAGTTTACTTTTTCGAAATTTGACGGTAATTCTGACGGTCAGAATCGTTTCGTCAGCTCATTATCGTTATTTTTCGATAGCTGTATAATTTTTACTCGCTCACGTACGGTAGTAATAAGCGAGGACAGAGCCGGATGACAAGGTGACTTTTTCACGCGTCGAAAAGTAGCGTATTGTCGAGGAATTTTAAAAAATCGAAACTTTTCAACGTAAACGAATAATAATGATGAAAATAGTATTAAAAGAGTGTCCGAAGCATGGACTTTCTCAGGCAAAAATCGTCAGGTTCGTAGCTCCTTTATCTTCGGAGGAGATAGCTGATATACGGTGAAGCAGCGCGCTTTATACGCAAAAAAGTCATTCTTGACGACGTTCGAGGTTCGTTTACTCGAAACGGGTACCGTAAACGAAAAAACGTCTCTCCGCGTAATTTGTAGCGCTCGCCGAGATGTACGAAACGCGGCACGCGAAATTCCTTTTCTCTTCGGCATAAGGGAGATATCGTAGTTTTCAAGGCGATTCGTCATTTTTGTCGCTTTTTTTTCGAACGTTTCTAGAAAAAAAACCGAGACGCGGAACCGAACAGATTTAGCTTATTGGTACGTATTTCTCGTTTAGCTATCGAACGAGACCGATCTCGAGTCGATATTTCGATAAACGGCGAAACGAGTGTGAAATAACGCCGCGTACCGTCCGGAAAACGGTCGATTTTTCGACTTTACCGGCCGTTTTCGATCCGATCCGTTCGTCTCGCCGCGACGGCTCTCGCCCGCCCGTAAAGCGCCGAGTTTCTACTTTCCGAAACGGTACCTCTTTCCTTCCGGACGTACCGCGAACCTCCTAAAAAACCGGAAAACCGCGTCGACGTCATACAATTTCCGAACCCACTACCAATCACTACCAATTCAAAAACAATCGATCACCGCTTAATATAGTCGACTGTCTACATCCAGCATCGAAAATGGAAGGACCCTGAAGAAGCTTGCCACTCGTTCTAGCGAAACGTTAGGAAGAAATTCCAACCGACGACGGCCTTTAGACCCGAATCAAGACAGTAGTTTATCAACTGGCCACGAAAGCCTTAACCAATTTTTCCTTCTTTCTATGTTATACCCATTTTCTCTTTATTGGACGAATATTTTATTTTGTGACTTCAAAGCGAATCTTGTCTGCAAAGTACTCCACAAACGGCCTTGGTTATTTCTTTTGTTGCAAGATTTGAAAAAAGCCGAAGATATTCCAGGCGTTACGGTGCCTATAGAGTGTGAATATTCCAATCGTAAATTGCAATTCGTTATATCACATTTTTCACTTATAGCAAGACTGAACAAAGAAATCACGTCTGGTGGCCACGACGGCAAAAAAAGAGCTGAAGAGGATAAAGTTACAGCCCGCATTGACCTCGTTTCGAACCCTACCTATTTGTTTTCCGTTATGAGGCTGTTCATAAAAGTTTTTTCCTCGTGTGTCTCGTCCTGACCTGATAGTATGTTATGAAGGCTTGCTGCAAAACATACTTTCATAACATGTCGATGGCTTTAAAATGTCTTTATAAGGTGTTTATCTTTCGCAACATTGTTATACTGAGAGCGGCAGAACCTACTAAACAGTTTCAAATAGTTATAAAAGGCCATTTAGTACCTCAGAGAAAAGATGATCTGTGATTTAGGAGTATGCAGCTTATACCATGTCACATTTATCAAGTTTTAATAGCAATTACCTTTTATGGATTTTATATTCATTTTACTATAAAGCTTATGAAAACAACTCACCTTTGCAAGTACTGGAGGACATAGGTATTAGAGATAATTATCTAAAGCGCTTTGAGAGTTACCTGTCTAATCGTGCTCAGTTTGTCAGAGTAGATAGATAATCAAGTGAGTGGTCTGAGATCAACACAGTATGGAGTACCCCAAGGCACCGTCCTAGGGTTTACTATGTATATCAACCAGACGTTTTCGGTCCAAAGCCGAGACAAGTTTGCATTCGCAGACTACACTCTATACTTTGCAAAGCAGACACAGCTCGCTCGAAATATTCATTTAATGTTGGCTTATGTGAGCTGTTTGGCTTAAGAGCAGATAGCAAAGGGAAGTATCTTAAAAAGTACACTGAAGGCTTTGAGGCCATCGGCATCCTCAAGCTTCTCCAAAATATCGACGCAACCCATTCTTGAGCTCTAGATGATCAAACTAAAGTCAATTGGGGTCAACAACCAACCTTATTCCCGAAGGTGGTATTATTATCAGCGGAGTTTCGTTACATTATGTGTGTAACAACAACGCTTACCGGGAATGAATTCTCACGTTGATTGGGCAGCTCGACATTTGCACAGCAGTTTATTCTTTTTCCCACAAAGCGATGTACCGATACAGTAAGTTCATTTTATTTGATTTATCTGATGCCGAAGAAAGCACAGCTTCGGAATTTTGTTGCAGTTCTTTGTTTATAGGGGATCCACAATATCAGTAGCCTAACTTATTGTAGAAAATGCAAGAGTCTATACGTCAGCATAGGTACATACGGAGACTACTGGCATTGAAGCTTTTGTATTAGTTTCAAAAATTGCGCTGCAATCCTACGTATAATAACCCGAAAACCCATACGGCCTCTGATGAAAAAACAAAGTTAGAGCAAGTTACGCAGTTTACCTCCTAACAAACTGACGGGTTCGTTTTACGTCTTTGGGTCACATCGAAATAGTTTTTGCCGTCGAGAATACCTGGGGAGTCGAGTAAAATATTCAGGTTAACCGCGATCTAACACTGGCCGTTATTTGGTGATGTTCCAGAATCTTTAGTGTTAGTCCAGTCATCTCGGGTAATAACAAATTGGCAATTGGCATTCTTATACTTGGTTCGTATTCTGGCGGTACATATCTAGTTGCTGATGATAAAAGCTCAAGCTGAAAGAAAAGTTTGGACCAGGCCTTGACGATTTAGGGTTCGCAATGTGGAAGCACTACTATACTAGATTTTTATGTTAGCTAACATTTTCCACAATTTTCTCATTTCTTTTATTTGTGCATCATTTTTGAGATTGAGCGTAGCTACAGGAACAAGTAAAATGAACCACTAAAGCAAAACAATCCTCACAAATAATGTGTGCAAACGATTTGTTAATTTATTGCATAACTTTTTGCACCACTTACCTGAGAAATCTCCATTATTCACCGGATTCCCCTGACAAGAAGATACACTTCTCTTCTACCTAATAATGATAATGAAAAGGTAAACAATGAATGTGTGCGTTCATGCAGAGCTTTCTTGGCTTGCTGGACACATAATTGTCACTGCTATGAAACCACTGATCAATTTTTTAGTACTAATATTTATTATTTACTACAAGACGCCGCAGAGTATATTTTATAACTGAAATTGTTGTTGGCTAGTCTTTGCGTTTATTTCATTACTTTGAGTACTTGCAATTCCCAGACTACCTGATAGATTGGGATATTTCAAAATAAGTGGGAAACGAGTGATATATCGACCAACGCAGCATCTACTACCTAATGTTTCATTTGGACAGTGTTGCCGAATGTTAAGAAAATTCCCAGATATGCTACAATCAACGCCTCATCAAATTAAATGTCGTAACATCATAGTTAGTAGTGGAAAAAGGTTAGCACATATCTCGCCATTATGCACAACTTTTCTCTAGGAGAGCTTACATTTATCTCACTTGGATTTCAATTAATTTATATGACTTTCTTATATACTTTGAGAATAATATGAAAAGAACATTTCGTTGTATTTGAAATTTTCGAAAAAAAAAACACTTACACATAGCGGTGACAAACTGACCAATCAGACAAGGTTTAGCATTCAGCGCAGGTGAATACTCTTTTAAACAAAATTGAGATCAAAATCTGTGCAGCCACACAGGTATTATATAACTTTTTCCCAAATGACATTCAACTATTCCCCCATCTCGAGCTAATCAAAATATGAGAAAAAGACATGAACAAAGAAGGATGGAAATTGAGCAGACAACACGATAAAGCTATTTTTTCAAAATAAAAGCATTTAGATTTTTGGGATTGGAAGCTGAAAATAATTTCCAGTAACTTCTCTTGGCCACTTTTATGAAATTTGTTAATCGACAGCTGTAGATTGAGGGGTTGCCAAAATACAGCCGGCGCCTTTTATTATTGGCCCACCCGGTACATAGATGTTAATGGTCTAGGTACTTGAGAAGCTTTGAGGTATTATATAAAAAAAACACTAATGATATTATGCTGTAAATATGTTATGGAGATTGATCTATTCCGTGCATATATAACAGTGACTGCATAGAGTCTGAGTGGCCGTTTCCTTTTATATATTTACATTATGTTAATGTCACTGTAATCTGTTTTCGTCATTCAATGTATTATATCTTAGTCTGATTTCCCACAGTAAAGATAAGAACGAAACATAACTTTGAGCCTCCATGGGATCAAATGGAGGATCTGCTGGATGAAAATAGAGAAGTAATTTAGAAACCTTGTGTTGGCTATTCCATGTGTATGAGTTGACTCTAGACTCTTAACACCTTCGTTACTTGTTATAGTAAGCGAATGATAGTTCGCACATTTTGGTAATGTGTTTTCAAATCTTTCCCGTCAAAAATTGGTAGGGAGTGTCACGAAGCCTGATTTTGCTATTTAGTGTAAATATGGGAGACTTGGAGCTTCCTAATCGAAAATTGACAGCAGATTTGCGCCCTATTTATCCAAGAAGCAGTGTCTGGTCGAATTATCAGACTATACAGGGTGACTTCGAAGTTGAGACATTTATTTTAACAGTGAGTAGATCTGATCAAAAGAAATGTTTTTTTCCTTTACCATTTTTCTGGTAAAATTAAAGTAACAAAGTTATAGCCCTTTGGGAGTTTGAGTACCGCCCTGTCTCAATAATAATATCATGTGCTCGTGTTTGGCAACAACGGATATAATCCGCCTTATCGGTTCATCGCATCGGAAACAAAAAAGCGAAAGAATTTGGAACGATGTTTTTACAATTATTTCATTCAGTTGTACACAGTCAGTGTCAGTCGGTAGTGAATTGTGGTGTCTGTTGCGTGGCTCAAACGAAATAAAAAAAGGCACATGTTTATGCGGATCGGTTTCCCAATCGAGTGCAACCAACCCCTCGTGCCTTGTTACTGTAGTACAACGGGTTCGTGAATCAGGTGACTTAAGACCTCACATATGGACGGCATGCCGGTGCTCCAAGACCTCACGATCAAATACAGGTCCGCACTGAAATACTTGTCGGGAGGATACTTTATAAAACAAGGTAAACATTTTTTTTGTTTTTTTTTATTTTTACACACATATTTTGGTTTATCTTCCTTCTACAATCATTATCTGAAAATTAATGACTCAACTTCAAAGTATATTCAGACTACTGAATTTGCACACCCATCTGCTTCAGCTAGTTTACTTCTTCGTACTACCTATTCATATGGACTATGACCGCTTTCTGACTTGCAACAAACCTCGAACAGCCTGACGTCCGATGTTTTGGCCTTAATTGAGCCTTGTACAGGGTATCGTCAAAGTAACTTTGCGGAGCACATAGACCAGGCAATAATAAGTAGGTTCTCCTAGTATCGCATAAACAAAAGCCGTACGATCACAGAGGGATTTAGTTCCTAAAACTTTAAATTAAATGGGCTAGTCCTACCCTGCTCCCACCCTCCTCCTCAACCCCTTATTAATATTAATCTAGTTTTTAAACAAGTCGTATTTGAAATACCGACATTAGCACATCTATAGAACAATACCGTATCTATCGATTTGATGTTAGCTTACTGTGAGCGTCTTCGAGGTCCTGTTGATATTCCGCGAGTGCATCCACAACGTCCTCCTCAATGTTGCAAACAGAGCTGCATAGGCTTGTTTGAATAGTGCAAAAGCCATCTGGCTGAACACAGTAGATGGACTAGGCAGCCCTAGATGCTGCTAATTTAGGAAAAAGTAAATAAACTCGTGTTTTTGAAACGAGCAGCGACAACTTCAACCCCCATTCCCAAACAAAACATGTGACAGGGCAAGAGTTAGAATTCCTTATCAAATTAATGGTGAGTATTATTCCTCAGTTTCTTTTCTACGTTTTCGTTGCGCAAATTGAATCTGTTATCTCGAACTTAAAAGGAAGGGTCCAACCTTGAGGACACCCTGTATAGGTTGTACGCTTTCGGAGTGACTCACTCTGTAGCCAGCTTGAAATAAAGTGATGCGACAAGAATTTTTATAGACATACGCAATTACACAGAAGCGTCTCCATCGTAACGTTTATAACAATGTAACGTCCCACGTTTCGCACGTGATTCATGTCGAGGAATTCTAACTAGCAACTCCAACTTAAACTCGCCTAAAAATGACAACAGTGTGAAGGCGTATTCGAGCTTTATTATTTACGATGTCTCGGTGTTCTAATAATACCCGGTAAATTCGGATGAATGCAGTAAAACAACA